ACAACAACAAAAAAACAGGAATTAGTAATCACTGGTCATTAATATCTCTTATTATCAATGGTCTCAATTTGTCTACAAAAAGACACAGACTAACAGAATGGATACAAAAACAGGATCCAACTTTCTGCTGAATACAAGATATATATTTCAACTTCAAAGACAAATATTACCACAGAGTAAAGGATTGGGAAAAGATTTTCCAATCAAATGGACCCAAGAAACAAGCTGGTGTAGCTATCCTAATCTCTAATAAAATAGACTTCAAACTAAAATTAATCAAAAGAGATGGAGAAGGACATTTCATATTCATCACAGGAAAAATCCATCAAGATGAAGTCTCAGTTCTAAACATTTATGCCCCAAATACAAGGGCACCCACATTTTTAAAATGCAGGGGGCTATGGGAATGTACAGTAGTGACAATTAGTATTTAACAAGTTGACCCACCAGATGCATGGTTCCCTGTTGGTGGGTCCTACTTGGCAAATCCTTGGGGTTACTGACTGTGAATGACTGGTTGTTTTCTGTCCATAACTTTCTTGGGTGCCAGTGCTATGCCTCTCTAATAACACTTGTGGTGTTCTTTCCACAGCCCTTTGGTAGTATGTCTTACACTTATTGGGCACACATATAGCTATGAATGTTCTGGAAGATGATTTCTGCTTAGGATGTATAATATTGATTTATAGAAATAATACTAGGATACTTTACATTACTCAGACTAACATCGGATTCTCAATCACAAAAGCAGCCTTTTACACAGACATCTAATTTTGGACTTCAGAACAAATACGAAACAGACTAGCTGCCCTTGCAGAAAATACACAAAGACTAATTTCCAGGTGTTGTTTACTGCTAGATCAAGGCCAGACTGTTTACAATGAGATATAGCTCCCTGCAGTAGTTCTCTTTCTGTGTATACCCTGACCACTCAAGGTTCAGCCAATTGTTTACTGTCTGGGATCCCTCACCAACGTAGAGCTACTTGCATTGGCAGTGTGATATTACTGGCTTAAGAGAAACTACATGACTTATGTTATGAGTATGGGTAGGACCCTAAAAATGTAACTTACAATTGTCCAGAGTTTGGCTGTGAGATAGCAGAGGTGGTGTGGAAAGAGACAGCTGTAGAGTTATGTGAGAGCTGCTGCAGAATGTGAGTGAAGTGTGTGTGTGTGTGTGTGTGTGTGTGTGTGTGTGTGTGTGTGTGTGTGCTGAGAGCTGCTGCAGAATGTGAGTGAAGTGTGTGTGTGTATGTGTGTGTGTGTGTGCTGAGAGCTGCTGCAGAATGTGAGTGAAGTGTGTGTGTGTGTGTGTGTGTGTCTGTGTGTGTCTGTGTGTGTGTGTGTGTGTTCTGAGCCTAGGAATGAGAGCCACTGTTAGTTACTTAGTGCCGTTTGGGTTTCCAGGCGAGGAGCCCCATGTCTCAGGGAAGGTGCAGTGATGCTCTGTTTCTGATTCGCTGTGTTTGGTCTCCACTGAGGTTCAGGCCAGTTGCTGGGACCAAGACAGGAACTCTTGGTTCAGACTTAGTGTTTTCTATTTCCATCTTGCTCACTGAGGCAGTTCAGTGCTGTTCCTGCTCCCACACACTGTTCAGAAGGTGCCCCTTGAGCAAATTGCAGTCCTCAGCCATTGGATTTTTAAAATCACTGTCCAGTTCCCTACCCAATGATGTTGAAGTCAGTGATGTGTTGTGTCTTGTTTCTAAGACTGTTACACTAAACCTGGCTTCTGGTTTCTAGGGAAGTCAGTGATGCTGTATGTAGCAGAAATGATTCCCAAGCTAAAAACAAGGACACAAAAAACCGGCGGTGCTGACCCCAGTCTTCAGCAAGGAGAGGGGAGTAAAAAGGGGAAGGGGAAGAAGAAGAAATGATGCGGTGTGAACGTGACGCACACAGTCCTGCTGCGAGAGACCTGGGCATCTTTGTGTCGGAGGGAACAGCTTTTGTGTCTGTCATTTAACTGAACTGTGAACAGTGTGTCTCCCGTCTTCATCAGCAGTTAACAATGAGATAAGTTTACATCCAAAGTCTGCATCCAGCTTTTATACTGTCAAAAGGAAAGGTGTGTGTGCCGAAGAAAGAAGACTATTTTTAACAGATAATGACTGTCCCGTAAGTTACTTGAAATCCTGTATCTGTTTGTCCTCTATGTAAACATATATTTCAGGTAAATAAGTTTAATAAAATTTGAAATACACATTTTGTTCACCTTTTAAGTTAATGAAATAAACAATTTAAACTGACTTCTGTAGCTTTCACTTATGAAGCAGTTAATACCAGTAGAGGAGATGAACGGAATACAACCAGTTGAAGTGTGGGCAGTGTACGGGACAATCCGTGGTACAACATAAGGACACTGTGAGAACCAAGTAGTCTGCCTTGGAATTGGTTGGTTTGGAAAAGACTTACTGTCTGGGGACAAGGACTCAGGTAGCCCACACAGGCCAGAAACAAGCTGAGGCTGGGGGTGACCTTGAACTGGCTGGGATTACAGGCCCGAGCACCACCAGCCTGGCGTATGTGGTACTGGGGATTGAGCCCAGGCCTAATGCACACTAGGCCAGCACTCTACCAACTGAGCCGCGTCCCCGGCAGAAAGACTAAAACGAGTATTTTAATTATCACTCTGTGTGTGTGTGTGTGTGTGTGTGTGCGCGTGTGTGTGCGCGCGCGCACATGTGAGCGTATGGGACATGGATATGGAAGCCAAAGAATGACTTGCAAGAACCAGCTCTCTCCTTTCACTATGGGGGTCCTGGAGATCAAACTCGGGTTGTCTTGGATGGGTAGCAAGTACCTCTACCCACTGAGCTACCTTGTCAGCTCCAAGGAAGACATCTAATTGTTTTATATTATTTATTTGTTGTATGAATGTGTGCATGGCACACATGGGTAAGTCAGAGGACAGCTTGCAGAGGTTGGGTCTCTGCTTCCACTGTGTGGGTCCCAGGGGATCAAACTTAGGTCATCCGTCATTCCTGACGGCAAGTGCCTTCACCCACTGAGACATCTCACGAACCTAAGGTGAAAAGAGAAAACCTGTCCCAGCATGGCTCTCAAGACAGTGGGACATGGGTGCAGATGCATGATCTGAGGTGATATGAGGAAAACCAGACCCTGGCGGATTGGCCCATAGGACCCATGAGACGGTCGGTTAGCATCAGTGGAGGCCCCATCGATATCAGGGACCGGAGGACAAGAGAGAGGACCAGCGCTACTGAACGAACGTATTTGATGCCCCGCTCACTGAGCTGGGATCGAACCGTGTTTACAGGAGAGCTAAAAGATGTGATGGGCTCAAGAGACAGCCCACTGGTTCAGAACCCTGGCTGCTCTTCCCAGCACCCACATGGCAGCTCACAACCATCTTAACCCTGGTTCCTGGGGATCCATTGCCCTGTTGTGGCTTCCTCAGGTACCAGGCACACACGTGGTGCACAGGCATCCATGCAGGCAAAACACCCATAAACCATAAATAAAAAAATAAAAATAAAAAAGATTAATTCATTAGGGACCTGGAGACTGGTGTGAGGCCTTAATGGTTTTACTGAGTGCAAACACAGTCTTGATGAGATAGGAGCTGTGCAAATTCATCTTGCACAAGCAAGTCTCCTGGGGAGGAATCTGTTTACCCAGCCCAGGGCTGTCTCGGCAGCAAGCTACAGCTCCGGTCAGGGACTACCAGATCAAACACGGCCACATGAAGGCACAGCCGCTCTCCCGCTTGGCCTTAGAGCGATGCCAGCCAGCCCTGCCCCCTGCCCCACTGGGCCTGTTGGCGGGGAGATGCCTGGCAGTTCTGTGGCCACAGCCCAGGATGAAGAGGCAGGATGGCTCACAGAGAACGGCTGTGAACGGGGAGGGCCGAGGGAGGGCCTCGCACCCACACCGCTGGACACAACGTTGACACTTTGAGAAACAGTTAGGACAGCCGTGGGGTCCTCTCAGTCTGTTGGACCTTGCTAACGTTTACCCTCTTAGCTGCTCTGTCCTGAGATCAGCTGGAGCTTGCTCGGAATGGGGGGGGGGGGCCTTCAGGGACCCTGCACATGGCCACGCCCAGCGTCCTTTCCACGTGAGGCCTTAACTCTCATCTGCAGAAAAGGAGGATTTGATTGTTTCCCCCTTTCCCGTCATACGCGTGTGTGCTTGGCATCTTCCTGTCCTACACATTTCCTGGTTTAACCACTGCCCGTAGACATTCAGTCCGTCCGCAGCTGGGTCCCGGTGCCTCTACTGCTGAGCGTGGAGAAGGTTTGGGGACGTAGCTCAGGGGTCAAGTGCTCACCTCATAGGTGCAAGGCGGGATACCAAGAACAAGACGAAGGGGGCGGGGAGGGAGGGAGGGAGGGAGGGACTATCAAAGACCCACTAGCACCTCCCCTGGGAACTTGTCAAGAGCGCTGGCCCAGCCTAGACTTCAAATGCCCTGAAGCGACTCCCTTGGCAATTCTTACATGCATTAAAGTTGGAGAAACTATGAAGTATGTTGGTCTTTTATTATTATTTTCTGGATGTATTGGTTTCTCATAATTATAAAATATATTTTGTTCTTTTAAGTGGAAACCTGTTTTCTTTGGAATTGAATATTTTGTACTTTTATTTGCTTAGTTTTAAAAACATGACACCAATTCAACTACAAATGATCAGTTGTCAAAACGTTCTCTCAGGGCCAGAGAGGAGTCAGTGGCTTCAACACTTGCTGTACAGGCCTGGCGATGTGAGTTCGATTCCTGGAACCCAGAGGTTGGAAGGGGAGAACTGACTTCCATCACATTATCCCCAGACCTCCACACATGCATGGCCCCATGTGCATGCTCCTGCATTCGCTACACACACACACACACACACACACACACACACACACACACACACACACAAAATGTAACTTTAAAAGCCTACTTCACAGCCAAGAGTAAGCAGTAGCTGTCACATCTGTAATCCCAGCACTAGGGAGACTGAGACAGGAGGATCACCATGAGTTCAAAGCCATCTGTGCAACTAGCAAATGCCCCTGAGCCCAGCAGTCAACAGTGTGGGCCTGAATGCTACATGGGGAGAGGCAGCCACAGGATCAGCATCCATGCGGCTCTCACACCCACTCCTAACAACGGACGAGGGAGAGGAGGGCTGAAGTGGGGACCACGTAGGTGAGCAGCCAGAATCCGTTTCTTCTGCTTTGGTAGCAGTTTCTACCTGGGAGTCGGGCTTCAGTGGGTCACGTTCCTCTCAGAACCCCCCAAACTTGTGCACCAGTGGGACCCCCGCTGCTCCCTCCCGACCCATGCATTAACAGTGCCCAGGCTCAGTGCAGCAGAAGGGGAGCAGGACCCGTACTGCCCTCGGCCTGGCAATGGAGCAAATCCACAGCACTGGCCACATGGTGGTTTCAGAGAACAAGTTCCCCATCTGACTCTTTTCCCCGTGGTGCTGCAAGCCGCCAAAAAAAATATATGCAGTAGGATTTCAGCTGATTAGGACAAGCTAATACCTGGAAGAAGCCATGGGCCTTCCAGAGGTCAAGCTGAGGCTCAAGGAGTCCTGGTGATATTGGCTTTTGATTATTAGCCATTTCCTGCTATGAATTTCTCATGTGTTACTGCAGCTTTTCCATCATTCATTGGGCACAATCTCTCCTCTACTAGAGGAATATTTAGATAACCTTCTGTGCAGCAACGCAGCCAGGATCCCGAATTTCAGGCCTCTCTGTCATTATCACCATTAGCAGCATCCGGCCAGAACCATCCCCGGACGGACGAAAGTATCTTATCAGAGTACTCTCTAAGAACAGACTTAAGCATCCAGGCTACCTGTTTGAGAGGGCCTGGCGGATGTGCTAATTAAGCCTAACTTTCTCCCTTTCCAAAGTCTTATCTCTAGTTTTAGATTTACCTTGAACTATTAACTCAGAACTGAAGGGTTTCTACTTACAGGTACATCAAGCTGTCACAGAAGTTGCCCAGCCAAGTTGCCTAGCAACTGAGCACACTTGCCAGAAACAGTGGGAAGAAAGATAGCTTGGAGAAATAAGGGTCAGAGGGATAAAAGGCAGTTTTATTTTCAGAGGAAGGGATGGAGAAGAGAAAAGAGAATGGAAGAACTAGATGGGTAAGAACTGGAGAGGAATGTACTGAGACGGAGAAGAACTAGACTGAAGGGCTAGAAGAAAGCACTAGAGGGACAAGATGGAAGATGAGGAAGAGCCAGATGGGGAGGAACTAGATGGGAAAGAAGGAGATGGGAGAGGAGCTGAGATGGGAAGGAACTAGATGGATGAGAACCTAGATGGGGGCAGAACTAAGATGAGAAAATTAAGATAGAACTTAGAGGGGACAGCAGATAAATGTAGAGAGAAATCAGGCAAGAAAGGAGCTAGGCATGAGAGCAGAATAGATGCTGTGTAGAGAGAGAACTGACAGAATAATAGAGTGTATGTATGGACTGAGGAGTTTTGTGTGCGTAGATTCATTTCATATCATCAAAGATTAAATTATCAGCTGGTTGCAGATTCTTCCCGGACCCTGGGAGGGGACTATCGATGGTTTGGACTCCCATAGTCCCTGTTAGCTTGGGCCAGCTATTCTGCTGGTCCAAGCTGGATTCATAAAGCAGACATTCCACAGGACAGTGCAGTGTAATGCCTGTGGGGTCCCAGCGATGGTGACATGCTAGGGAGTCTGACTCCTACAGCAGTCTAAATTCAAACGGCATCCCCCTTCTCAAGATGGCTCCCGGTCCCAGCACCCTGCATTTGCTGGGAGATAACGGTCAGTCCTTTCCCCAAGTCAAGCTGCTGTGCAGCTTTTCCCGAGTGCCCTGCAACCCCGGGTGCTTCCCAGCACCAGTGTGGGGCTCTCACTGGGCTCTGGCTCTAGAGCTAGGCACAGGTGTCAGGAGTATTTTCTAGGTTGTTCCAGATCACTAGATCTAACAAGGTTCCAGCATCTCTCTGGATCCCAGTGTTCTCCAATGTCACCCACCTCACCATGCAGCAACTCACCTGATACTTCGGTTGTGAAGGTGAGGCTGCAGCCTGTCAACCATTTTATGAGAGACTGAGTTAATATTATAGTTAGAAGCCAGAAAAACTCAAGGGTCATTTTCAAATACGTTTACTTCCCTGTCCCATCACACAGAAGAACCGTGTTAGCTCAGGACCCGAATTGTGCCTGTCCCACCAAACACCGTGATCAGACACATAAGGAAAGCAGCTGTGTTGTGGGATGTTTGATCACATCGTGAA